GTATTGGCAATAAATCTTCATTACTCTGTCAGCTATCTGGTGAAATTAAAACCAAATTAAGTCACATAGTTAGAAGTCGCTGTATTGTACTTGTTGGGGGGGTTGTCAAAACATTTTCTGTGCAAGTATAAACCTGCTACTGGCTTTTTAATATGTAATGCTTAATATGAAGATCTTTATAATCTTTCTGATCACCAGGCAGTGACCCCTTCACCGTGGCAGTACCAGCAGGATCAAAGTGGTTCTAGGGTCTCTCCTCCTGGCAAAATAGCTTTCAACGCAAAAGCACAGAGGTTCAAACCCACACCGTGTACATCTGAGAGGAGTCCAGGGTGAGACAGAGAGAAACTGACACGTGGCTGAAATGTTACGGTGCTAAACTGAGCTGACAGATGTTATTTTGCGACACAGCCCTGGGACGTATGCCGACGACAGAGTGACAAACAGGAAAGTGAGCTGGCCCATGTGCTTTGGGAGACCGGACTGGTCCAGCCTGCCTCAAATAGGCAAGAAGTCACTCAGGGTGAAGGTGAGCGAAGCAAGTTGAGAAATTTCATGGCCTTAATTTTGTTGTTACAAAAACTTAAAAGGCACAGCCAGCTTATACATAAAGACCACAGATATTTCTCTAGTATCAGAAATGTTGTCTCTCTTTAGATGTGCTGATTCTATACACGATTACTCAGATAAACTCATTAGCTGTAAGCCTGTTAATTCGGTGTGATATTAGGTGTGCTCGTCACCTATACCTGTACAAAACTACATGTTGCTGCACCAAAAAAATTGTGATATACATATTTTATTTTCCTCCCACAGCTTGCCAGTGAAAAGGAGTACCTTAAACAGAGGAGCAGAGTGGCCTACCTGAATTTGTACTATTAACCCTGAAGGTCTTACATGGAAACCTATCGTGACACTGGCGAAGCAAGAAGATGTTTTTTTGTTTTGTTTTTTGTCTTTCCCCTTAAAATATAAACAAAATATGAACATGTAAGGTTTTTTTTTCTTTTTTTAAAAGAAACTTAATTTCCTTTAATTACAAAATGACAGAATTCCTATGTGACCTGTATGTTACATAAAGATGTTGCTTACAAAATAATGTAGGACAGATTTTTAAACAGCTGAAAAAGTGACACTTAACCCAAAAAAAAAAAAAAAGCCATCTTCTGTGGAAGTCAGTCTGCAGTACTGGTCCCGCTGCTGAGGCAAAGCAGTCGCTGGTCTCAGCTCACGCAGCAGGTTTCAACCCCGGGCCACTTCCCCTGTGCAGGGAATCACTGACTGGACTGTTGTAAGCACCAAAGACTGGAGCAGATATGAGTCTGTTGCTTTAAGCCTCGTCCCTTCTCATTTCTTCCTCCTTACTTTGGGTTTCTTGACCGGCCGGAGATACGGGTTGTCGATTACATTGTCCTCACTAGCCTTGGTGGATGGAACTACGCCGCTGGGAGGAAGCATGGAATTCTCTTTGTCAGCTCCTGGATCATCCTGAATGGTGGAAATGTAAAACAATCAATATTAGCAGTGGTATATTTGAAGGGCATTCTGGGAAACTTCTTGCTAACTGTTGGCATAGGTACCAACGTATAACTACATGGTAAATAGAAAACTTGAATCAGAGTTAAGTTAGGATTGGATGCAACCTGTTATGATGTAGCTCTGGGTGTGAGCTTCATGCAGATGTATAAATGCCACTTTAGATGTGATTAGCTTAGCTGAACATAATGATTGCAATATGGACACACAGGTACCCTATCAACACACTGAAAGTCATTTACACAATTATGAATTCTTTGAAATCAATGTAAAGTAATGACAGTTTGATTTCCAGCATTAACCAGGATACTAATGATAAGTAATTAGAGCATGAAACACTACTTGTTTGTTTTTGGTATGTATTAAGTGAATGAAGCACGTTTCCTAGCTTCAGAAGTGCATTAGCTTTATTTTAATATTTTAGCTGCTAGCTAATTCATCCCATTTATAGTCACTCTGTTAAGCTGAGCTGTTCCTTGGCTGTATTTTCACATTTAAAGGGGGGCTGTTATGCACAACATTCAAAATAATCCTTATTAATCTTTTACTGGACTCTTTGTATGGCCCCCTAAATTCAATCAAATCAATCCCCAGAAACATCCAGCCACCTTAAATTTGGCAGCACCTCCTAAACAAACTGCAGATGGCTGGGGCTTCTGTGCTCACAGCCAGAGCTATGTGCTCTGTTAAGGATATCCACTCTCACATCTCTCTCACCATCATACAGAGCCAAGACTCTGTGAGCCAAAAGCCTGAGCTTTTGGCTCACAGATCACCTGTGCTGAATCTTTGTTTGAAACTTCTTTAATATGAGCATCCACCATTGTAACAGACAGGGTAGAAAATAAACAAGAAGCATTATAGGTCCAATTTAAAGGGTAAATATGAGGATGATATCAACTTTCAAGTATACATTTTCAGCATAAACAAAACTCTCCCGTTTGAAAACAATTACTTTAAATTGTGTGACATCTTGATGGCAACAGAACTCAACCAGAACATGGAAATGCACTGTGACATCAAAACCCCCATGTTGAAATTACTTCAGTTTCATAAAGCCTCTTCTTACTTCAAATAAATGTTCACAAAAGCTCCATTATTAAAGTCTATAGAAGGATGAGTAGCTTTCAGTTCCTAAGAAAATCTACTGGTTTTCTGAGAAACTTCTCCCACGTGTTTGCTAATATAGTTGAGCATCTGTACTGAGACAAATATTCTCTCTGAAAATCTGATAACCCTGTGCAACTAATGGAGCTTAATACTGGAAAAAAATGACCCTGAAATTCTGTTATCACGGTAATGAACTAGATCAGATTCTCACTTAAATTTGTTCAGGCTAATCTGCAACAGATCTTTCCCTGTCACTACAGTAACAGTAAGAGAAGATCCACAAACATTTAGAGATCAGATGATTCTGTAGGCCCGCCAGCAGCAGCAATTTTTTTTCTGTTGCTTAAAATTTTAATGTGTGATACAATTTTAATTTAACAAAGATTCAGGATTTTGTGAAATATTCCAAGATATTAATTTGCTTTACAATTTCTATATATGCTGTTTATACCATATATACTATATATATCTATGGCACACCAGTTCCCGGACATGGAGACTTACAGAAATGGCGTTTCCTGCTGTGTTCTCGCCATCAGTCTGGTCATCCTGCTCAGAGGAGTCCGTCTCCTCCAGAGCCTGAAGTTCCAGCTCTGAGGGCAGGAGGGCACTGAGATATGGGATGGTGCTCGGCCGCGCTGCGATTACTGACGACAATCACAGGAAGCAGAACTCGTGAAAATGCAGCATGCTTCATTCAGTAATCACAAGACATAATCTGGCTTTAAATAAAGATCAGCTCACTGAGAATCACTCACATGGGAAGGTAGTGATGTCATCTTTGAATAGGCTTTGAGTTTCTCCAGTCTTGGCAATGAAGCGTGTAAGTGCTCGTTCCACGTCTCTCCTCTGAGTTGCTGCCTTCTCTCTCACCACTTGGTAGTCTGACACGGGTTCCCTGAAAGTCTACAGGAAGAAAAACTCTTAAGTGGATTACTTTTTAGTACAGTTGTACTTCTATAATACACAATCCAGCTTTCTAGGGATCTCCATGATGAAGTGGAAAAGTTCTGACTCACAGGTGTTTTGATATACGTGTGAGGGTCGGGGAATTCTGGGAAGTGGCTGGGGATGTGGGCTGGATGTGTGCGCTTCTGTCCAGCTGACAGCGCTTTGGGAGTCACAGGAGCATTTGTCACTGGAGCTGAAATTTAAAAATAAATAAATAAACATTTTTCACATCTAAAACCACTGGATCAAAAGGTCTCAAGTCATTCATTTTCATACTAATAATGGAGAGCTGAGTTCCTACTTACGGGCCGTTATGACCATCCTTTGTGATCGTTTAGCATATATGGGCAAAGTATCAACATTGAAACCTTTAATGACACAAGCAGAATAAATCGAATCAGTATTGTGTTCCCTTAGCAACGTTTAATCCATATGTGTTATAGGAGGTCTTACCCATTTCAATAAGCGTGACCACTGTGTCTGACAGTGTCGGGACGCTCCTGGCTGTGTGTTCACAGTACGCTTTGGCACATCGACCTATTTCAGTAATATCTAAAAACAGAGACAAAAACAATCAGTTCTGTAAACACGAATCAACAACCAACTGCAAATTCAAGAAACGTCTGCTCTGAAAATAGTCTACAGGGGCTCAGTTACGTCAGTTTCTCAGCTTTTTTTCACCAACTTCTACCAAAATTGTTCCCGTTGGTGTTTATTTAAGAAAGTAGGTTAAATAAAGTGAGGTGTACTTGCACTGGTGTTCAGATATATATTGTAAAAGTGGCACTTAAAGATTTACAGCTTTCCCAGTGGATGGTGTACACTTAAAAATCATACATACAGCTCTGCAACATCTCAGTTAGGGTTTCCACAGCTGCCTTCTCCGCACTCTCGAAGCCACTCTCAGTCAACAGGGCGCTGACAACGACCTGCAGAGTGCGACGGCGTGCCAGGAGGTAGTTTTCTGCTGGGCTAGAAGTTGCTTTACCAGCACTTCCACGCTGGAAATAAAATAAATGTGAATAAGGGTATACAACAGAAATACATAGATATGCTGTTGTCTTCATGAGAAAAATATCTCACTATAGTCACAACACACTTGGGAATAAAGGATTCTTTAAAAGGCTAAATAAACAGACACATGGTTCCAGAATCTTTAATTGACTTACAGCTAAGGGGCACATGGACATTAGCTTTTGTAATTTGAAGTATAACAAACAGAGAGTAATGAGCCAAGCCTTGCAAATTTACCACACAGTGTATGTTATTCCCTTTGCTTGGTGGGCACACCAATATGCCAACAATGTGCACATACACTAAGGTTATGAGGGCTATTACTATAATGTTAGAAATAAATGTGACTTTTAACAAATATAGTGGCAAGGAGACATTAAACCTACAAAATCATCATATTTTCTACATTTCACAAACATTTCTCAAGAGTCCTTACTGAACAGACATATTAAACATTCCCAGTGCTGGTGGTGAAAGTGGGAGAATATTTGGGCTCTGGGTGATTTAAAAAGACGTTTTGTTTATCTGAATCAATTCTATAATGATTAATTTTATGTTAATATTAAAATGTATTGTTCTAATTCATCATCCAGCTCTTAGTAAGCTTGGGATGGTGGACATGTTTCTGTAAGATATATTTGTGTAATTGAGAGATTTAATTTTTGCCACTGCAGCAAACTGCATTGTCCCTGAGGTACTAAAGCAGCTCCAAACTGCAATGCTCACTCCATTGATTACACTGGAGACCGCTGCAACAGTCAAAGTGATAACACATACTGCAAATGCTCACTGAACCTTCCTCAACCATGTGGACAGAAAACACGTTTAAAATCTGCTGCTGTATTTATTGGGGAAAAAACAAACAAACAAACAAACTGGACTGTCCTCAACATTTTGAATCCAGACTTAGTGGCATGGTTAGCTCATGTAAACGTCAGGGATATCAACAAAGATCAAACATTCTTTTTGAATTTTCATTTTTTTTCCGCCAGCATTTTTAGATCCAAACAGGCACGATTTATACTTTACAGGCCAAACAAAACAGACAAACATTAAAGCTGCCTAGGGGTGGTCTGACTGTTGGATTTCTTTGTATTATTGTAGGGTTTTTTGTCTATAATATAGAGCGCCTTAAGGGGGGTGTTGCTGTGAATTGGCACTATATAAATAAAACTAAACCGTACTGAATGGTTGTGCCACTTTATTATTAATAATAAAGGTGCTATATAAATAAACTGACCTTGTCTAAAATATTATTAATAGCCATCCCTTGTAGTTAGCAGACAGATGGGAACAGCTCGAACAGTTTGTTGGTCTACCCCAAATATCGATGAAAAATACAAGAAGTGTTGCTAAACCCTTCATTCTCCCTAAATTTAGTGTTTGTGATATTGGTATAGACTCTATTTGTTCACACCTGTAATTTAGATGAGGATGTGCCCATATGTTAAGACTAAAGAACACGTAAAACGTACCTCTTCCTGTCACTGTAAGGACACAAACATTTATTCAGACAGGGTAAGCACTGACATAGATAAAGTTAACCCACCTTATAGTCTATAAAAACGTATTTCAAGCTTTCACCGGACTAAATCATATTTATTTAAAGTTGTTAAATCGAATTAGGACTTCAGTGCAGTCTGACTGTTAGCCAAGCATGCTACATCCGCCTCCTCTCCGAGACCCAAAAAAACATTTCTTACCACTCCCGCATTCAGAGGGCCTCCCGACGCCACCGCAGGATCCGCCATCGGCAGTTATTAGAAATCTCCTCGTTTTTTTGACCAGATTTATATTTGTATCTCTCCGAACACCGTTTAGCCGCCGTTGGTAAACACGGCACGACTGTATGACGTTATTTCCGCCGTATCACGATCGTATCACACACTTTGTTTGTCTGTCGCCCCCGAGTGTTCATCTGTAAAATTACACCTGCTTCAACCTGCTTCTAATTTGTGAAAATCCTCTGCTGTAAAATTAATATAGCAGGCTTTTAGTTATTTGTAAAACAAAATAAGTACTTGGAAAAGGGTATTTGTGATACTTTTTAAAATATATTTTCCAGTCATAGTTCTAAAATTATTGCATTAAATGAAGAAAATTGAGATTAAAAGATCAGTTGCATCTTTTTAGTTACATTTTCACTGTTTTTGCTAATTATAACATGAGGTCCGCTCTTTGAAGTAACCTACCCCACAGATTATATTAAAGTCATGGTCTGAGACAATTGTTTGGAGAAAAAAATATATTTTTATTAGGGTGCAAAACAAATTTAATCACACACATTCCACTTTTACAACACATCTATCACATCACATTCACAAATATCTGCTGCCCAGCAGCCAACGTTACTGTAACCCGCAGTCTTCACTGTATCTCATCTCATTTTTTACCCAGTCAACAGGAGCAAACTGCACATTTAACCAATTTTTTGAAATAATGAATGGGCGCGAAGGAACCATTTCCACACAATGACTTGATTTACCAACATTACCATCATCTCTAGTGTCCATTTATGTGAAGAGGAGAAAGTTTCTTTAAGAAGCATGTAAGCGGTTGGCTGAGCTTCTCCGCCTTGAAGTCAAAAGATATTTGGCTTTTTCCTCGGGCATTACTGTATCCACCACATCAGCATCTTCACTATCAGCAGAGGCAGTGTGTGGCTTCAGCACCTGCTTCTTCTCCTTCTTCTTCAGGATGATAAGCTCTGCTGGTTCATCCTCCTCAGTATCTCTCTCCACAAAGGGCAGGAAAGCCATCTCTACCAGTCCCCCGACCATACCAAGCATTGCCAGAGTAGAGCCGAGCATGTAGATCTTCAGCATGCTCCGGCTGGGTCTCTGTGTCAGCATTTCCTTAGCAAATGGGATGATCTCGCCAAAGTTTTCCATATTGTGTTGTCGATGAGTCTGTTAAAAGAAAAGGAACAATTGTAACCAGATATTCTGTAAACAGAACAAAGATTTACTCCTGACAACTAATCCATTTAAAAAAAGAGAATAATACTTACGTCGAAGCACACGCACAAACTCTCTTATCCTCTTTTTCTGTGCGCTCTGAGTAATCAGGCTTTGCAGGCAGAGGCAAAGGCAGAGCCTGCATATTTAAACCCAAGCAGGGCCAGGTTAACACCCACACTGGGGACACAATGCATATTCATGAGGCCACTTGTACTCCAATTGTTTTGTTGGAGATTCGAACTTGTTTGGGTAAAAGGGCAGACACATCCAATCCCTGTATGTGATGAAATGCATGTGATGTGACATGTTGCCTGAACTCTGCATGTGCAGTTCATGCAGTAAACATTATTATGTTCTGACAGCAAGTAATGCTGTGCAACGTTAGTTGGTACTCATTAACTTCTTCAAGCACACACAGGCACGCCTTCTATGTAAGAAAAGTTAAAAATAAATGATGTTAACATTCAGACAGTTAACATGTTACGGACCACTGAACAACAACAGTCCTGGGTTTGTGCTTTGTTACCATGCATATTGATCTTTATCAGGAGAGCTTTATTAGTGTCCAATAAGAGTATGCTAGGCTGTGGAAAGCCAGCCTCATTTATTGGTTAATAGTTATTGTCTGACAACAGTATTGGTTACACATGGAATCAGAATCAGAATCAGAATCAGAAAGAGAAAGGGTTTTATTGCCAAATGTTGAGTAGGTTTACAACATTAGGAAATTGCTGCGGTACTTAGTGCAAACGTACTGTCATATAACGCTTAAAATACCCCCTATTGAACAACAATAGATAAGCCTCATTAGAAGATAAGGGTCAATAGAATCCCCCAAATCATGCTGTCCTGAGCTGCTCTGCTCCTGTACCTAAATCTGTCCAAAATGCTGACAGTACGTGTGTGTGTACGTGTCTCAAACTCTCTGCACTTTGAACCAGTTCCCTGCTGCACGAGAGAAGAGTAGCGAGTTGGGAAATGTGTCTGATCTTTGTCACAGAGACATCATCACTGAGTGAAAATGACAACCACACATTGCTTCAACATCTGTACACCAGATGAATCATGCTTAACATTTTATCCAGTTTAACTTATAGCGGCACTGCCAGCAAACAAAAAAGTCACACTTATTATTAGTTTTGTAACTGTCACATCGCATATTAATATAATTCTCTAAGTAAAATGCAGCAGTTATACAGATTACTCATGACATTACATTAAAGCATTACTTTTTAATTCAGTACTTTGAGATTTTGAACTGAATATGGAGGTGAAGATTCTACGTAAAGAATTTCATACTAATACATCAGGTCAGAGTAAAATACAGGAGAAAATGCTAAAAAGTATCCACACTGATTCCACTCTTCATAGCTAATCCAGGGACAACCTTTCACCCCGTTTGTCCACTTTTGGACTGCAGAGTTGCCTAAAATATTGCAGGTAATAACGCAATAATTACGCAGTCGATAATGTTCCTCTTTGAGCAACTCAGCTCTGGGCATTTATGTTTGCCACTGCTGGGAAAATATTGAGACTGTTTGGAGACCTTTGCTCCATTTTTTTGTCACTTCTGCTTGAAATGAACAGTCTGTCTCTATTCTGGACTTCACCAAGTCACCATGCTGTGGTTGAGGGGGAAGTTTTATGGCAAATGTGAATGTGAAAACTCTTTCAACAGGAGCTAAGGGGAGAAGGAGTTTAGATACACAGTATTTAAAATGTTTATATGTGAAAGGAAACTTACACACACAGTGACTTTTTTATTTCAGAGATTTTAAAACTGAGTGTTTTACCTGTAACACAGTGTTTGCAGTTAGATTATTCTTGTTGAATCCAGCTTGGCAAATACAGGAAATTCATAAATGGGGTGAAATGAATAATAATCTAAAGCAAAATCTAAACCCTTTAAGTCAACATACATTTCTCAGCTTTTGACCCCTATTCACATCTTATAATAAAAGCTGTTTAAACCTGGTCACAAAGACATGTTTTGTATCTGTTGGCTTACTTGGCTTAATTTACTCCGTCTGGAACCTGCTGTTCTAAGTACGCTGCTCTTTGTAATCCTGACTGTGCTGGAAAGGCTGAAGTACAGAAGTACAGCCTGCTAATTGGCTTGCTGGTTAGATTAACTGAGGTTACCAGCTCAGGTTAAATGAGTCCTAAATATGGTGTATTTATATTAGGGTGATGCTAAGTAACATGCAAGTTTGCAGAAAGTAGCAGAAATTAACAAGAAGAAGAAAAAAAAATCTATTGTTAGAAAGTAAACACGTCTGAACAAAGCCTGTTCAAACTGTAGCCGGAGTTTCCTGTTGCCTACCTGGCAGGGATCCAGTGTGGCCTTCTGCTGCTGTAGCCCATCAGCTTCAGGATTCAATGTCCTGCTAAATGTGCTAAAAGGATCAGTATTTTGTAAAATATGCAGACCAGCTCATCTGGCACAAGCAACAATGCTACGTTCAAAGTAACTTACTGCAAATCACCTTGCTTTGTATTCTCATCTCGACCATGCATTGAGCTGCCGGCTGATTATACTGTGATTGATTAGCTAGTGTATGTACTGCCAATAGCTTAATTTAATTTTGCAAAGTCTACCATTAATTTGTTTACCAGCAGTGAAGGTAAAACAACCACAGCAAAACAAATGCAGATCCTTTATTTTTGAGTATACAGGATTCCCAGCATAATACATATATAACATTAATATATATTAAATCCATCATTACAAAGCACATACCAAGACAAACAGCAGACTGCCCAAAGTAAACCGCTTACAGTAAGTGAATAAACATTTCTAACAATAGACTTTACCTGAATGTAAAAGATCTAGTAGGTTTATGGCATTTAATGAATATACTTGTGGCATTTACACTGTTAATGATAGGTTTGTTTAAATATACATTGTTATATTTTTTTTATTTCAAATTTGAATTTGATCTGCTCTATTTTATTTTATTTTTTTTAAAAAAGAAGCAAATAATTAAAAAAATAAATTAGTGAAACAATTAACTTAAAGAAAGTAACAAAAATATGAGACAGCTTTACCATATTAAATTACATCAGTATGGCTTAGTGGATGCAGCAAGCATGCGGTTTTCTTCAAGTACAATAATTGTCATTGACGTCATTGTGTGTTATTTTAAGCATGGAACTATGAACACAAAGTGTTCGGATGATCTGACTTCTGCCCCATCAAAAACCAGTGGTCAGGAACATCGTCACCATAAACAACACGGATATTCATGCAAAGTCCGGCTAGAGGTGAGCCCATCTAATCCATTGCTTTCCCTCCTAGATCACACAGTTCTGTTCAATACTGTCAAAAATGTTCTGGTTAAAAATGAGACTCGTGCATCTGAGCGTGTGAGTTTCCTTGTGGTTTGTGTACTTTGGTGTGGTTTTGGTGAAGCTTCCTAGGCACTCTCTCCAAAATAAAATGCTCCACACAGACTGTGGATCTCCCACACCGCTTGAATCAACCACTTGTCGTTCTCAGTACCTCGGAGCTGCTGACGCAAACCAGCTGTGTGCTGGGTCAAAACAGCAACACTGACCTGTAGAGGGCAGAAACACATTCAGGGTGAGAAATAAGTCTGTAAAATACACTCAGCATGCTCTAGATTGTTTGCTTTAGGTTCCTCAGGTCACAGCCAGGGTGTTACCGCACAGACACTCAGGTGTTTTGAGTTATTCTACACCAAATACAATAAATAAAGAGTTCATCTGTAGAGCTGAACTGTAGTTTAATAATAAAAGTGTCATTTAAAAACAGTTTAATGTATTTGTTCAGTATATCCACATGCTTTAAGTGTACCTACCAGGTAAAATGTTTTATTTCCATGTAAACTCTGTGCAGCTTTCACATGATGGCGCAAACACCAGT